CTCAAAACACACTAGAGTGGTGCTCAGACTTAAGCTTTGCTTGTAACTGTTATTGAATAAATTCTGATTGGATACACTTTTTCCACTATTCGTTAGTACACATACAATGCTTGAAAACAGAAAGAAGCCGTAGAAAACAACTGTAAATATATAAAAAGAGTTTATTTATTTAGAATTGATGTAATTAATGTAATTATTACACATAATTGCTGCTTGCGGGTCTGGTATTATCTCTTAGTTATACGTAATTTTACTTTTATTTTTTATTTATAATATGCATGTTAATGTTGTCATTGTATTAGAGTTTTTACATTAATGTCTTTCTTTCCCTGCAGCGACTCTGAACCGTACTTCAGTCGTGATGGTGGTAAGCTGGGTGGAAAATATCTGAAGGCCAGATACATTTCATACACTGATGACACATTTACTACCAAAACACATATTGCGGGCTCAGATGTGCATCTTGGAATTCTGGGTAAAATCCTCACTTGTGTCTTACATGTTTTAGAACACTGATATGTGTTTGATAATATTTTAAAGTTGACTTGAGATGAAATTGGCAACTGACCTGAATGGCTTAACTGCAACATTTAAATGATTTAAGAGGTCAAAAAAAAAGAATGCATATATGAATGGTTAACAATAAGACCAGTAACATACAATAAAGAAAAAATATGGTTAATTTTGACTTCCTGCCAACTTTCAAGTTTTTAAATAAGAAGTATGGGAATATGTCCTAGAGGTAATATCATGCTGTGACGTATGAGTGCTTTTCACTTTTATTCATGTAGTTTAAATGATTCTCTACACCCCTTCCCCACTGTAGGTCCGGTCATTAAAGCAGAGACTGGTGATGTTATCATTGTGACATTCTTTAACAATGCCACACAGGACTACAGCCTTCAGCCACACGGTCTGCATTATGAGAAGGCCTACGAAGGAGCAAAGTATCAGGATGGTCAGTCATTTACAGCTACAGCTATACACACAGATATACACATAGATCTTCATTTTAGGGGTTCTGAATGAGGCGAAAGCAAAGTAGAGGGCATTCACACAAAGCTTAAGAACCTCTGCTGTGACTTTTTATTTGGAAACTGAACAGCAATGAACACAAAGAATAATATTTGACTGCTTCATACACACATTGCGCAACATTTGGCTACAATATTGAAAACACAAAGCATACGTCTTAAGTTTTAAGTCATAAGTCAAAGATTTTAGAATCTTTTTTCTCCACAGGTACTCAGAAAGCTGGAGCCTCTGTGGCTCCTGGTAAAAAATTCACCTACCGTTGGAAAGTAATTGAAGGTCCCTCCAGCAGTGATCCTCCTTGTCTTTCCTACTTGTACTATTCTGCTGTCGATCCTGTTCGGGACACTAACTCTGGTTTATTTGGACCCATACAAGTGTGCAAGAAAGGTGTT